GAATCCATCATGGAATTATAGTAGAATAGCCCTAGGTGCTTAGCTCTCCATGAATGGAGTTGAATACAAGATGAAATAAGAGTGAGAGGAGTATGAGAGAATGAATGAATTAAGTGAAGTCCTTGGGTCTCTTTATATAGGGCTTGATTGGGCTTGGACTTTGATTATTCAGTTGACAAAATCTTTTATCTTATATCTTCCAAATAACTAAAAGATTTAGATAATTATAACATTATTTGGAAGATATTTTCTGTTGATATTTCCAATTTAAATTAATTCAACAACTTATCTTTTGGCTTTTTCTGACTTTCCAAAATTGCACAATTGTCTCTATCTGCACTTTAACCCCTTCTGAATTTTTGAAATTGCAAGAAAGTCCCTCAGTTGACCATCCTTGACCAGATTCAAACAACATTGAACAGTTTTGACCAGAGAGGCGTGCCCAATGAGGTACTGACACGTGTTAGCCCCTTTCCCACCCAAAATTAGGGTTTAAGATTGGGGAAAGCTCCTATGCCACCGCGAGAACACGGTGTTCTCTACACTTGCGCCTTCGCGGTGGTGATGATGCTTTTGTCTCTGGGTTTTCTGAATGCAGGTGCGTGTTGATGATGGGGAGCGGCGGTTTCGCAGTTTCAGATCCGGTGATGGTGGATGGAGGTTGGCGTTGATGAAGACGCGATTGGGTTCCAAGAATGGAGAAGATGAAGATGGTCGAGATGCGAAACCGTGGTGGTGATGGCGAGAAGCGTGAATCGTGGTGTGTTGAGGAGGATGGAACTCGCAAGATGATGATGCCGCTTGAAGATTCTCGCAGCGGAGGTGAGATGCGGCGGCCATGGAGGTTTCACTGTTGGCGGTTTCACGATATTGGCTTTCACGATTCTGGGTGGCTGATGTGATTCTGGATCTGTGTTTCTTTGCAGGTTCTGATGCGGTGATGGAGGAAAGCGGCGACGTGGTGGCGGAAAGAACTCGCGTCTGAGTGTTTATGGTGGAGACGGTGGCACAGCGGAAAGGATGGAGGAGAAGGCTTCGCGATTTGATGAATGTAGAGAACACGCGTATGGTCTCGCGATGGCGGCAGCTTCACGGCGGTGCGATGGCGTGAAGGACTCGCGATAATGACGGCTTCACGGTGGTGGCCTGACTGGTATCTACGGCGGCTAGGGTTGATGATGGTGGCTACCAGCGGCGCTAGGAAGAAGATGGTGGAAGAAGATTAGGGTTGAAGGAGATGCTTACGTGGTAAGACTGATGTGTCATGGGTGGTGAAGTGGCAAAACCTGATTGACTCACTGATTAGTGCAAGGATGAGTGATGTGGCATCATCTGGACGATTTGATATGTTAGTGGAGAGATTTGGACGCGTGGCAACATCTGATAAAATTTGGCTTAATTAGTGGTAGGAGAGGTATGTGTAGGAAATTTTAGGAGGTGTATTCAAAATAGGGTTACTGTTGGGCTTAGTATTTGGGCCTAGTTAAGAGAAGAGGGGTGTATATAGGGAAATTGGGAAGTGCAAGGGTAAAAGTTGTCTGTTTGGCCCATCTGTACATTATTTTCCAAATAAAATCTGATTTTGGGCTTTGAATTGCCATTTGGACCATTTGTACATTATATTCTCAACTGCACAAATAAACGTAAGAATTTCCAAGAATATTTTATGCGTTAAAACTCACTTTTTACGTCTCTTTAATTCTCAAACCCAACAATTCCAATCATCACAAATCCTCTTTAAATCAATCATTCAAGCACATGAATTTCATCAAAAATTTAATTTTAAAGCATAAATGTGGGTATAAATATGCATTCATCAACAACGTTAGCTAGCTCAGTCAAAATTTAACGTTGTTACATTTTAAGGACTAAACATTACCGTTTCATTAAGGAGAAAGGTGAAAATGAAGCAAAGTTTGGAAGATAGATTAAACCCAAAAGTGCTTGATAATTGAGGGACTAAAAACATATTCAACCCTTAAGAACACTTTGAGATGTAAGGACTTGGGCTACACCCTGCTTATATGTTTATATGTTTATGTTGGGAGTGATGCTTCCTCCACCACCCCATCTTCTCCCTACACCTCCCCAATATTTTTCAAATTCTAAATTTACCATTTTTACTTTTTACTTTTACCAATTTTACTTTTTATCTTTTAAAACCCTAATCTCAATCCCCTCTCAATTTTACTTTTTAAAAACCCTTTCACTTTTCCTTCCAGTTTTAAAGCCCTCACCCCCATGTCACTTTCTCTCTTTCTCTTAATTTCCATTTCCGTTAACACAAAATTTGATAGAAAAAATAAATTATGCATGGTATAAATTTAAAACATTTATAACTTTTGATGAGTTTTGAAGTATCATGATTCCATAATATAATTTGCTAAAATTTTTCCTCACTTCCTTGTCTTTAAATATCCAAACTTGAAAATTTATCCTTAAACTTGAAACTCTGAACCACCAGGAGATAACCCTTGTCGTTGTAAACCAGATTGTTTAGGCCATAGGAGCTTAACTTCTCTTCGACAATCCCTGGGTGTTCGGTGAATCTCGCGGAATTTGAAAGAAAATGAAAAATGTTGTTTTAATGGAAGTTGAAATTAAAAGAAAGAGAGAAAGTGATAGTGGAGGGGAGGGGTGGGGGTTGCTGCTAAGAGTGAAAGAAAAAGTGAAAGCGAGAGATGATTGAGATTAGGGTTTTAAAAAATAAAAAATAAAATTGATAAAAATAAAAAGGGTAAATTTAGAATTAAAAAAATTGAAGAGTTGTAAGGAGAAAACAAGATGGTGAAGGGAGTATGTTCTTCCCTTTCATTCATTAGTCCTTAATTTGTTAGAATGATTGTTGTATATTTTTTTTCTCTTTCAACTAACTTCTTTTTTTCTTATTTTCTTTCGCTCAATGAACTTGTTTATTTATATCTCTTTTAAAAATAAGTTAAAAAAAGATAAAAAAAATATATAAATTAATCAATAATTTAAAGATAACAAATCAAAAAATAATAATCATATAATTTTATTCATAATAAAATAAAATCATATTATATTTAAATAAAAGTATTTTAAATATTGAAAAGAATAATATTTTAATGTGAATTAAATTAAAAAATAATTATTTCAAATACTTAAAATTTAATTATAAGAGTATAAGATATCCTTATGTTATCACTAATATTAAAAGAAAAATGTTACTAGTAAATAAGCAAGAGTGTTTCATCCTACACCTCCAACATCTCATCCTGCACCTCCAAAAATTCCATTTTTAACCTTCTGACATATGCACCTCCAACTTTTCTAAAAATTTTATTTTTTAATAAATATATTTTTTTTTTCTTCTCTCTCTTATCAAAGGCACTTTAATAAATACATTTTTATTTTTTTCTCTTTCTTATTAAAGTCTCTCTGCACTATCTTAATAATAATCTAATTTAATTTAAAATTTAAATATTATTTAATATAATTTTATATTTTAATAATTATTAAAATATGATTTATATCATAATAATAGTTATATTAAATATATAAAAATCAAATAACTAAAATAAAAGTAATAATGATAAAAATAAAAAATAAAATAATAATAACAATAATATAAATTTTGCTTTAATATATTCAAATATATTAAATTATATTAAAATATTATAATAAATTAAACAGTTATTAAATTTTAAATAAAAACAAAATTTTTAAAAACTTATTTATTGGATACTGTAAAATATTTTAATAGTTTTTTTTTAAATTTAATATATATTTAATTTAATTAAAAATAATAATATTATTTATTATATTTTTCTAATTTAATAATTATTAAAATATTATTTATATTTTATAATAATTTTATTAAAAAAGTAAAATAAAATAAGTAAAATAAAGTTAATAATAATGAAAATAAAATAGTATTGAAAATCAGATAAAAGATATTTAAATATATTATATTATATTAAAATGTTAATTTAATTAAATAATTATTAAAGTTTAAATAAAAAATAAATTTAAAATTTGTTAATCGGATATAGAAATTCGATAATGTGCGAATCGGACATGGGTATCCGATTAAGAATTTTTCAAAATTTTATTTTTTATTTAATTTTAATAATTATTTAATTTAATTTAATAATTTAATAATTTAATATAATTTAACATATTTAAATATATTAAATGTGATTTTAAATATTACTTTTATTTTTATTATTATTATTATTATTATTTTTAGTAATTTTAATAAAACTGTTATAAAAATATATATTATATTTTAATAATTATTAAAATATAAAAATATAATAAATATATTATAATTTTCAATTAAATTAAATATTTATTAAGTTTTAAATAAAAAACTATTAACATATTTTAGGATATCCAATAAATAAGTTTTTAAAAATTTTGTTTTTATTTAAAATTTAATAACTCTTTAATTTATTGTAATATTTTAATATAATTTAATATATTTGAATATATTAAAGCAAATTTTATATTATTGTTATTATTATTTTATTTTTTATTTTTATTATTTTTATTTTTATTTTTGTTATTTTATTTTTATATATTTAATATAACTATTATTATTATATAAATCATATTTTAATAATTATTAAAATATAAAATTATATTAAATAATATTTAAATTTTAAATTAAATTAGATTGTTATTAAGATAGTGCAGATTGACTTTAATAAGAAAGAGAAAAAAATAAAAATATATTTATTAAAAAATAAAACTTTTAGAAAAGTTAGAGGTACATATGTCAGAAGGTTAAAAATGAAATTTTTTGAGGTGTAGAATGAGACGTTGGAAGTGTAATGTTGGAGGTGTAGGATGAAACAAGACAACATTTTAAATCGAAATTTGTAAAGTTTTTACAAAATGGTTCGGCTGACGGGGCTGAAGGCCCGGCCTGCCAGAGGCCCGATGCCGTTGTCGTGTAACAAGTTCTTAATTCTTACCGACTCTCTGCATGCATTTCCATTCCATTCAGTAACTCACCAACACACACTCCAACAATGGCGGATGAACTTCCGCTCTCTCACGCCACCCAACCATTGAAGCAAATCGCCGTCGACTACACTCCCGAGGCCTGTTCTCACTGTTCCATCTCCGACACCATCACCCTCACCTACGACATCCGCGGCGGCGCGCGGTGGCGCACGCTCACGCGCTTCCACTCGGGCACCTTCTCTGCTCTCATCCAGTGCCCCGGTGGCGACACCAACGGTCTCAACTTCAACCTCTACCTCTCCTCCCAGGAGGGCGACAAGTCCCAGGACGAGATCGACTTCGAGTTTCTGGGCCGCGACAGGACCCTCGTACAAACAAACTTCTTCTGTGGGGGCGCGGGGAACAACGAAAGGATCCACCATCTTGGGTTCGACGCCTCCGAGGGGTTCCACGAGTACGCCATTGCGTGGGGGAGCGATGCGATCGAGTGGCGCGTGGATGGAAGGGTGGTTAGGAGGGATGAGAGGAAGGAGGGAAAAACTTTCCCTGAGAAAGCTATGTTTTTGTACGCTTCGATTTGGGACGCTAGTGGGATCGCCGGAGGGAAGTGGTGTGGGAAGTACTCTGGAGCTGACGAGCCTTATGTTTGTGTTTATAAGAACATTCATGTTCCTGTTGGCACTGCTGTTGATGATTAGTGAGTTGTTTTTTTTGTTGTGACAATCTTGTGGGTTTATGTTTTTTTCTTTTCTGCAAGTGATGTTAATGGAGAATGTGAGAATGTGGTAATGTAAGTTCTTTAGGGTATGTTTGGTTAGGCTGGGATTCACTTAAATGTGAAAAATAAGAATTATCTCAGTTTAAATCACTGTTGAAATATGAAAACTAAAATTGTTAAAAGTAATAATCAAGCATGAAACCTAACATGCTAAACGTGATGTTTTTTGATGTGGAAAAGGTATGGATTTGCATATCTGCTTGGACTGTCCAAAACATATTTACATGTTTACCTTGGCTAACTTCAGGTAGTAAGCTAAATCAGTCCAACAATGGTCAATTAGCTATCCAAACCAAAGTGTTCAACTTGTTGGTGAATCAATCCCCTAAAAATGGGACTCTTCTCCAACTTTATGATTTTGATTGGTTACATGGTAATGAATTCTGTGTTTTTCTAGATATTACATTTTGTGAATAATCTTCCATGAGAAACAAAATTAGTATGACATGAGAAAGAGGAAATTATGGTTTGGTGTTAATTTTGCAAGTATTATCTTATTCTATAAACCTAATGTTCTTTGTTTGTCTATGTATATGGTTGAGACAATTTTATAATAGAACCAAGTTTAATACCTTTTATGTATATGATTCAAATCAACACAATATTTTCTAACATAATGTTGATCATGGTGATGCACATGTGTACCCTGTTGCAGAGAGGAAGTTGAAGTTAGCTAGCTAGCTATATATGCATGCAATGTTAAATTTCTATGCATGATGTATCAACATAATGGCACAATTACTAATTTTATTTTATTACACAAATTATTCTTCAAAAATTTCATCACAATTTGATAAAATAATGAGATTCATAATACTACCTTTTGTTCTTTGTAAAAAATAAATATTGACAATTTTTTTTCAAATTATAAAAAAATGTAGAAGCACTTTTGAATGTGTTGACTGACAATATTGTTTTGTTTTACACTCTTAATTCAATGAAGGGGATATCATTCATTAATCGTGAGTAAAGTAACACTTAAAATAAGCAAATATTCTTTAAACACTATAGAAAGGCATACCTGAAAGAGAAAAGGAAATTCACATTATTTTAAAAGTTGCAATGATAATCACTTTATTGTACTTTAATTTATGCTTGACAAAAAAAAGGATGGTTTTTTTAGTTTCAAAGGAAAGGGTGTTCATCGTTAACAAGCACTTTCTAATTTTAAAGTTGGTTTTCCCGAGTTATTCTTCAACTTACTTTATCACTTAATGAAATTATTAAGACTATCAGATTAAGCAAATATGTAAAAATGTGAAGATAAGAATAACTTGACCATCTTCCAAAATATACAAGTTGAACAAATGTTTCCATTTTTTGACTTACAACTTAGAAACAGTGGAAAACTTTCCCATCATTTTATTATTGTTATTATTCGTACTTTGAGGAATGACAGAACTTGAAGAAATTAGCACCACCGCAATTTCTGAACAGTTTATTTATCCTAAAGTTGTGAGACACACAAGCAAATAAAGAAAGAGAGGAGCAGAGCAAGGCAAATAAGAGAGTTGTCAGAATCTGAACCTTAAAAACTATGCTGTCCTTTCTTCCACACCGTTGAGATCTATTGCAGCCAAAAACCATAAGATTCGACATCCACCACCTTCTACGTCTCAACCCTTTGATTTGTCGTTAGATGGTCAAATCATGGCGTGTACCCCACCAAGAATATGATTCCAATAAACAACAGAATGAAAAACGAACGTCCTTCTTCCACATCTCTTCCCTCTCTTCCCCACCATCCGTCTTCCCTTTGGGTCACACCAAAGCCACTTGGATTCCATAAAAATTAAAAAAAAAAAATTCATTTTTTTAGTCTTTTCTCAAGAATTCTCGTTGTTAGAAAAAATTTAGACCCACACAAATAATAATATTTTTTAATTCATTGAGGTTATTTTTTTTATTGAACCTTGATAACTTTTAAAGAGTTGTAAATAAGACATTGAACCAATTACAAATAATAAAAACTGATAATAAAATGTCAATTAACTTAAAATAAAATGTAATTAATCTATCTTTATCTTTTATCAATAAAATAAAATAATATTTTTCTAAATAAAAGAAAAATCAAAACTATTTATATCTATTTTATTTTTATCAAAATCAAATCAAATATTACTAAATCTAAAATTAATAAAATAAAATTTTAATGAATCCCTAAAATTTGGGTGTCAATCGTTTTTTCTGTTTTCTTATTTATCATGCTATTTATCTCTTGAAGCCTGTGGGTTATGTATTTATGTGATACCAGCGTGCACTCTGCTCTGGTGTGGTTTTATATTTGAAGTGGATGTCAGTGATGTTTTGGTGGTTCTGTCCTTTGTTTTAGCTTCTGAGGTTTGTGGCTTGCTTTCGAAGATTGGTTGTGTGGGTGGATATACCTATAATGGGTATTGATACCAATTTGGTGACTACTATCATTGGGTTTGGGTTGAGTGCAACGTTCATTGTCTTCGTTTGCACAAGAATAATTTGTGGAAGACTACACGAACGAGTTGGAGTACGAACAGTATATGAAATCGAACCAAGAACAGACATAGAACGGGTAATTTCTCTCTTCCTCGTTTCAGTTCATTCTTCTGGTTAACCAACATGATTTGTGGTTGGTAATGAATCAAAATATTGAACTCTTATTAGTAAAGTTATGGATTCTAATTGTATATCATGTTTATCGTTCTAATCTTTAACGATGGCAGCAATGTTATGTGAAGTCCTGTGATAAAATTCTGCAGATGAAACATGTGATGAAAAATTTCAAATAGATAAAGAAATGGATGCTTTGTATTAATTAATGAGCATGTATACTTCCTTTTAATGTATATTTTCATGTCAAGAACTTTTACTTTATGTCTGTGTTCTGTTTATGTTGGGTGCTTCAGATTTTAACTTGTGCAGTGTTTACATGACAGTCAGAGTTTCATGGTAATGAGCCTGAACCTGCTTTTGTTGCTGCAATCCCCACTTTGAGTTTCAACCATGAAGCCTTCGTTTCAACGGGAAGCACACAGTTAAGTCTAGTTTATAGTCTCTAATTCGTAGGTATTATTAGACAATGTTCTTAAGAATCCTTTATTTCGAAAAAAGACGTTTCCTGAATTGGGATAAAAATGTTGATAAATTATTGAATTTGACCGTGCAGGTGTGTGATATTTTTGGCAGAGTACAAAGAAAAAGAAGTATTGCGCATCATACCAAAATGTGGCCACACTTTTCACCTTTCTTGCATTGATATGTGGCTGAGAAAACAATCAACTTGTCCAGTGTGTCGTTTGTCACTGCAAAATGCTTCTGAATCAAAACATGTGAGACATGTAACATTTACCATAAGACATTCGCTGGATGAGTCCAATGATATTTCAGAAAGGAACATAGACAGTGAGAGACAGGTTGAAGCTAATTCTAGGATATCTCTACAATCAACTTTGGGAGAGATAGGATGTTAGAAAACTAGTTTGTGTCTAATATTTGTGTATGTAAAGGAACATTGCTTGCAATTCGCTCTAAATACTAACAACACATCTTTATATACTTTTGTTTGAGTATCGAATAATTTTGGATTACTTTCTATTCATAAAAAAAAAAATCCTATAAAATTTATTTAATAATTAGAAGTGCTCTAAATGTGTTTCTAATCACCTCTCAATGTTTTTGCTCAAATTTTTACTTTTATGTTTTTCTTCTAAAATAAAAAACTCATTTTAAAAATTCAAAATAAGTTAGATGTGTCATATTAGTTAAGAATGAGTAATATGAATAATATATAAGTAGAAAGATTCATTAACCTAATGGTTTAGAGCTTTAGGATCGAAATGATGCTCTAATATTTTATATTGACTTATTTAAGATTGTTGATGTTAAATCTCTGACTGTTTTTCTTCTAAAAAAATCTCATATATAAGTTAAAAATCGGAAAAAATTAATTGAAAATAGAAAAAAAATGATAAACTAGTTAATAGAATTAGAAGTATTTAGTAAATTAATAACTAAATTTATCCCATAAGTATAAAACGAAGTTTAGTATGAATTAAATTTGGTAGATATTCATACTTTTAAAGAATTATTACTTTATATACATTATCTTTGAGATAGCAAAAATTGGATTTTATTTTCATATTTAAGTATATTTAATAAATAGAATGAGAGTATATACATGAACTTGTGTTTTAACTTATGACTTGATTATTTTTATACTATAATGTTATATTTGAGGAGGAAAGTTTTTAAAAATGGAAGGGTAAACGAAAGATTATAATAAGATAAACAATTGATATAAAGATATAAATTTAGCCATTTTTACATCATTTATTCAATCAATTTTTATATTAATTATATAGTATTGACATTAATTTTTTTTAAAAAATGTTTGAGCATTGGGAAATAAAAGTTGCCTATAGCTCCACCTCAACAACAATACAAATTAGCATTGTATCTAACAGGCTCCTTTACAACATAAACACTGGGTAGGGAGGTTAATTAATGATTACTCCCTCAACTACCTTATTTTGTGTATATACTTACTTAATTCATGCAACCATTGTAAGGATGAACATTCTAAAGAAACTTGGAGAATTTCTTTATATTTGAAGAAAAAAGTAGAACAAGATATCGTTTCATATCAAATTGTATGCTTATTATTATTTTGATTGAGCAAGTTGTCATTTTACAAAATAATCTTTAATATATTAATTTAGTATATTCAATTAAAAGTAATAATTCTAGGTTAAATAATTTAAAGTGTTACTATATTGACTATTCAAATCAAATTTGGCTAGGTATATTATTTTTTAATTTTTTTAACAATTTTGTAATGGACTATAATATCCTTCATCTTTTTTATAAATTTTAAAACTTGTCACAATTTCGAATATGATAAATAATAATATATAATAATAAACATAAAAATAATAAAACTTAACTAAGATATTTTTAATTTTTTTTATCATTTATGTATTTAAAAAATATATATTTAAGATTTTGTCATAATTTTGAGTGTAACAAATAATAATAATAATAATAATAATAATAATTTAAGTTTAAGATTTATCTGGATATGGGTTGATAAATGTGTATAGTCCTTACCTTTAGTTTCTTTTTTAATTCATTCATTCATTTCATTTTCTCATTATTTTTTTAAGAAACAAATAAAAATAAAAAATAAGATAAACTTTAAAGTAAACCATTAAAATTTCTTTATTTATTAACATGGATAAAAAAAAATACAATTCTAAAAACTTAAAATATTTGTGTGTATCAAATAGTCCAAATCTATAAATTTAATTCTTTGCAACCCTAAACGAATATATATATATATATATATATTTCAAAAATATGATATGCAATATTTTTTAAAAACTTAAATAATTTAAAGATTGATAAATATAATCATAATTACGTAGAAATAAAGACTATTTTCAAAATGTATTATTAAACAATAGGGTTAAATGTTTACTTCGTCCCATGTTAATAAGTGAATTTCTATTTAGTACCCGGTTTTAAAAGTCTAGACATTGC